TGTGTTCAAAATCATCACTGTTTTAAGTGAATCATTTGCTCGAAATGTTTGGCTCACCACCTCCGTGAATTTCTCATTTTATGAGGATTTGTCTTAGTAAGGAAGTTTATCTCAGAGGTTACACTTTTCTACTTGTTTCATGTTTCGCATTTATTTCCACACTATTATCACGGATATAGCACAGGTAAAGCTGACATTTATCAGGCGTGCTAAACGTTTACTCTAACAGATGACCGACAACTTTACAGCTTAGAACACAAAACAGTGAGCATAAAAATCACGTCAAACGAAACCTTGCTTCGACTCACGCTTGCCTGAATTTCAAATAAACGAAGGAAGCGGTAGCTCGAGAAAAAAAAAAATGATCCTAGTCAAATACCAATATAAATATATGCGAAACAAACAGCAATAGCATTTTAATATATCTGTATTAATCTTGCAAGAAGGCAATGACGTTTTAGCTTACTGAAGTAAACTTCAAAGAATTACAGCAGCGATATTGCCTTCAAAAAGAGTCACCAAACGCCATCTTTAAACAAAGTACACGAGATCAGAAGTTGCCCTTCACAGAGAGCTGTCTATTTAGCGGGTTAAGTGACGTTCCGGTAAAAGAGAATGTAAGCAACCCCGAACTGCAAAAAAACGCGATCTTAATAAATTTCAAAAAAAATAGATGAAACCAACAAAGAAGGGAAGTGAATGTATCACGAATAGAAAGATTTAGCGATCTCGTGATTTTAGGTTAGATTACAGCTACATTTTGTCGAAAAATGTGAATTAGTCATCTCTTTTCACAGTAATTGGTAATGTAAACAACTTCGTAAAACCCAGTGGGTCGTAACCAAGTTTAGTCATTAAAACATTCGATAAAAATCAGACAGCAGCCATTTAAACGACGGCAGAATATAGAGGTAAACATGTTCACTACAGGAGTAACCTCGTTACATGTTGGAGAAGATTCACGGAAAATACAAAGCAGTGTTACTTGAAGTAAAAATGATACTTGCGGAGTGAAATGCTATGAAATAAGATGAAAGTTATACAGTAGGAAAGTAACGGACATCTGTTAGGCCGAGCAAATTTCAGCTGAATTAATACGTTCTAAATAGTAAAAAAAAGGTCGCGCTGTCCACTACAATTATTAACCCAGAAACGGAACACTGTATCTTTTTAAATAGCTTCTTGCTGGTTGTCAATAGGGCTAGTTTGATACTGACTCTTATGACTGAATCAACTTGGCGTGCATTTTCTTTAAAAAAATCATCTATATGAGCCGGTGTCTGATAAAGAGCACACCTACCTGTCTTCTGGCTTGCTTGAAATATCGGCAAGTTCAACACCTGCCTCAACTTCCGCCATTAGAAACGATTTGTAGTAGTGAGTAATCGTCGTATTCCTTCGATATGAATCCAACTGAAAAAAATGGTACTGCGAGGAAAACCACCTTTGATTTATACCTTCAACATAATGCGGAAGCTTTGTAGGACATAGCAATAGAGGAACACTAGTAGAATTGTGGTCATCAAAATATTTTTATCGATGTATCGGGGTCATAGCTTCTTTACCCTGTCAGGTTTTCATGCTTTGTTGAAGAGAGGAAGGCGGATGAGTTGTGATATCCTATCCGGGCCGCTTCATGAAAAATAAGCGTCTATTTTATTATTGAAATTCCCAATGTAGTTTTCATTTAACTTTTAGTAAAATGTCAGTATGTAGTTTATTTTCTGGAACGTCCTTTCAGGTCTAATATGGATTAACTCATTTGTGAGCCCACATTTGCCCCTCATTTATTCAGGAAAGGTAAGTGAAACGTACGTGCCTCTCTTCAGTATTTCCTGACAAGTCCGCTCTATCGAAGAACATATGCATCCGCTTGAAACAAATTCGCTTATGCGTATAAATTCACCAAAAACTTTTTGTAATCAAGGAGGAAATTAAGTTTTATCAAAGAAAGGGTTCGCTATCAATTTGAAATAAATTTTTCATATGTCAATAAGTAATGTCTATTTCAAGCGTTCCGGGTTCCATTCAGGAATTATGCAAAGTTTGCCTATTTTCGAACCAGAGCAACAGCCGGGGGCTAAAATAATGTCAATGCAAAGTCAATTCCCTTCTTCTTCAGAAATAAGGCGTTAGTAATAAAAACAGTATTTTGTTTTTTCTAAAAATTTTGAAAAACGCTTCCATGAACAACGCGCCTGTTCCAGTAGTCTTAATTCCGAATTGTTCAAGAAACAAGCTAATCAAAGTCAGAGAATCAAGCAAGAAAGAACACCTCTATGCGTCACACAATTGCTTTCTGACCTGACCCCTTGTTAGCGCCGATGTAAACAAGAGAGACTCTGTCGTTCTATGTCCCCCACGTATTTGACGGACCTCTCGATAATGTCTAAAACTTTCGAACGTTTAGATAAGTTTTCCGTAAATCTTTTAAATTCCCTTTGAGATAAAAATAATAGAAAATTTAAACCAGTTAAAAAATAAGTTAACTGAGAATTGTTTCAAGCAGTGCTTCTAAGCTTTGTTTGTTATTTATTTCCAAACACAAAGCAATAGCTGTAAGGAAATTTACTGTGGGAAATATTTTAATCCCAAATGATACTCTTCGTTAACTGGCAAAACAACTTAATTTGAAAGGGAAGTTGAAGGGAATCGAATCAAATTTCATTTCTGTACTGGAGGCGAGCAATAACTAACGTATGCTTTTCATGTTTGCTTCAAGGGGAAATTGACTGTTCATAGCGTATAGTAACGACCATATTTTACTTCTTCCTAAACACCATTCATTGTCTAGTCTGTGGACTATGCGAGAAAAGTTTGTTGTCCACGGTCAAGTTAACCAACCTCTGATCGATCTGTTAATAAAGTGAAAATTTTGTTTGTGCCTTTTGCCTGATTTTTGATGCACGAATGAACGGTTCATCCTCGTGATACATTGCCCGCAAGCAATTCAATTGGCGAGCTTGATCCCTAAGAAAGGAACAGCATGGTCGCGCGTTCTCTTTCTGTAATGTGTTATCGGGCTCATAAAAGCCAGAGATAGCACTACGAATTCAATTTATTCATTTGCGTTCTTAATGATTCACGAATACTGAGACTCTTCTGACTTTCAAAAGAAGCTAATAATTTTCATAGAGTAACAAACTTGTCTTTAAAGAAAATCGATAAAGTCCACGAAATCTGTAACTCTGGTTCACGCCGCCCAAAACGCAGCGAATGGGACTTTCACTGAGAAAGACATGCAAGTTAGGACACTTAAAATCAAGGATTAAGGGCAAAAAATCATTCACACGTGTCAGGAAATAGGTTTATTTTGGGTGTCTGAGTCACACGAATTATTTGGTTGAACAATTCGAGCGCCGGGAAACATTTCTCAGCTGCGCTTAACTTGGCTCCCGCGCTACGGAAGGAAAAGACTTCCAACTCATCAAAGTCTACTAAAAAGAGTGAAAAGATAGAAAGAAGCGTTCCCACCGAACAATGACACATAATTTGCAATGTTTCAACGGGAAATGTCACGTACTACTCGACTTCGATGCAGAACTTCCGTTCTTTCCACGTAAACAAAATGCATCCATCACTTTATGAATTTATTGTTATTTTGCAAAAACGCGATTCGAACGCAGATAAAGGTCTCTTTCCTTTAAATCACGTTTGGTGCTTCTTGAGTTTGAATTGAGCACAGAAAAACGCTTAAAAAGAACGTGAAAAAAACTTAAATCGCTAGATACACAATTACTTACTAACTAAACTTAACCTAACCTAGATCAAGTAACGTAGACAACCTGATAGATATATTTATACTATACTGCTAGCTACATAACATTACTTAATTATAGGTGATTACACTAAATTCTTCGTGAGTTAACAAGACCTAATCAACTCTGAGGTCGGATCCTATTTCCAACCACCACAGTGCTGTGAAAAGGTTAGTTGAAAAGCTGCATGACAAAAGTAAAAAGTGATGACCTTCCGTATATTTTAGGGAAGAGATTCCAATCGGAATCAACATGTCTATCTTTTAAATAAAAACACCATCACGTCGGAATTGGGAGCAGGTGGTGGACTTTACAACGTCCGGTCTGGGCTAAAAGTAATTACTTTGTCGAGCGCTGAAGCGCAACATTGTCATTTGGCACGTGCACCGAAAGCGTATAAACCAGAGGAGTCGGGTTCATCAGTTAATTTTAGCAAGTCTAGCACAAGTGTTGAAGTCACTTTCGCTCCATCATGGGCAAATTCAAACCAGACCTCGAACAAGAGAAGAAATCAGACCAATCAAGGTGGGCAGAGTTTTTTTTAACTGTAGTTTGATTATAAATGATAATGTTGTTGGTAACTGATAAAGTTTTCTACAGAGCATCCGTTTTTTTCCTTGCAATATTGGATTTTCGAAGGTAGTGAGTGTTTGTGCGAGGATTACTTTATTTCTCCCACGAATTATTGCCAATTATTGCGAAAGATTGCTCGGCGATTGCCTACCATACTCATGGTGGTTTGCTCATTTGGTTCTAACATGCAAAGAAACCGAACACATATGTCAGAAAAGCGATTGCTACTCTTCGTGTCCTTTCTTCTGATTGGGTTGTTTCTATCCATCATCCAATCAGAGACGAGCCGATAGCGTGACATTTCCAAGCAACTAGCATCAATGAAGATATGTCATTGTGAGGGAGAAAATATATTTTTGTACGTGTGAAATCTTAGAAAACGTATACGTTCGCCGTTTTCGATTGAACAGAAAAAATAACAACAAAGCATCGGAAAAAAGGCCTTTATTTTTTGTACAAAACGTTTGTCTAAGAATATTCCGATAACTGCAATCTACGTCCATCAGCTGCATCTTTCATACCTTAATCATGATCGTGATCATGATTTGGATCGCTTCAAGCTCCCACGATCAAAAACAGATTAAAACAATTACGCTTTCAAACTTAAAAATCTAATATAGTTTCAAAGCCGACGTTTCGAGCGTTAGCACTTCGTCAGAGCGAATGATTCGCTCTGACGAATGGCTAACGCTCGAAACGTCGGCTTTGAAACTCTTTACGGTAGCCAATTTACATTATCAACTCAGTCGATAAAACCAAAATTACCTAGTTACTCTCACCGACGCAGCACCACAGTTTCTCTAGAAACTTACTCCCGCCCGCCTTAAATTCTAATACTCGAGGTAAACGTGACTCGAACGGTGGTGCGACGTGACGTTCTTCCCTTCAGGTGTCAGTGATAATAAATTCAGGATGGAATGAAAGTTTCGAGAAGGAATAGTTCTGCTATTATTTAATGCAAAAAAAAAAACTACTCAGCGACGAGTTTCTTTACGTTGCGATTCAAAAACGTGTTGGCTTCACTCGTGAATATAAGGAAGTTGACATCTTCGATGTTAAATCCTGGTTCATTTGTCACTTTCATCTGCTTGTTTACTTTGACGAAGTAAATAGTACGTGTGCGTACGTGATGTTTCAAACTACACAACTTCCTGTTTTGCTGTTACTAATAAAAAATGTTCCAGAGGAAGCTTTTATTTGAGAAGGAAATAGGAATATATCGATGAACGCGATGTGCAGCAACAAAATATTTGGATGTATAGAAGAACCGAAAAAAAGATGACACAAAGCGAATAAAATAATTTAAGCAAAGGATTCGATGAGAGGGCCAACGTTGAAGAAGAGTTCGATGATTTTAGGTATTTGTTCGTTTGTTCTAAGTCAGACCTGCTGAAAATCTTCAGGTCGAGGGGAAGAGCGTTTGAGGAAATGTTTCAAATATTTTGGCACTAGTAGACAACTCTCCTCCACTAAGTGCTTCAAAAACCCATATCAAAATTCACTTTTCGATGTGTGTTTTTTTGTAGACACTGCCATCCACGCCGGTTTCTTCCATGTCATCTATGGTCCTCGCTCTGCAAATGGTACTTGCGTTTTTTGGAACGCTTTTTTGGCTGGTATGGTACAGGGATCGCCAAACATCCGCTGATAACAATCCAGTTGTGTCTCATACTTGTCAGTGTCTGTTCTGTGGGCTTTGTTTGGTTCAATTCAGAAAACAGAACCGTAAAATTGTTCATCCCTCAAAACAGCAAGGCAATAGATGACTTGGAGACTGCCGAGAAATACTTCCGAGTCGACTTTCGAGAGGAAATCATCCTACTGGTGGCCTCTCCCAGTAATCCTAACCCTCTTTCCCCGATGTGTTTGAAACAGGCCTTCAGAGCTCACGATGCAGTCATGGAGCTGAAATCGTTTTCAGACCTCTGTGTCACGCTGTCGGGAAACAAATCCAGGTCAACAAACGGATGTGCGATGATTAATCCACTAGAATTTTTGCAGTTCAATGAAAGCAATTTGAACGGAAAGGACTTACATGATGTCCAACGGGAATTAAGCAAATCCTACAACGACACAAGGTTACTCATGCGTAATGGACGCCCACTCTGGTTGAATTTCAACCGAATGTTTGGCAAGGCCACTCGAAAACGTGGAAGCATAACCGACGCCAAAGCTTTGCAAATGATTTATCTCCTTCGTGATCCAAGGGACGATGATGAGAGTGACAAGATTCTCAAATGGGAGAAGGCCTTCATTGACAAACTAGGCTCGTTAGTGGACAAACTTTCGTGCTTCGATGTCCATTATTCAAGTGAAAGGAGCCTGGATGATGCTATAAGTGCAAGTACCGGATCTGATGTTAAACTGGTGTCAATCACATTCACCTGCATGATCTCTTTTGCTTGCTTCATGCTGGGCAAGTACCTTAATCCGTTGACTGGTCACGCTTTACTTGCTAATGGAGGGGTCTTCGCAGTTGCACTCGGGATTTTGTCTGGGCTCGGCCTTGGTATGTGGCTCCGTGTACCTTTTGTTAGTTTGGTGGGGGTGCTACCTTTCTTGGTTCTTGGAATCGGCATCGATGACATGTTCATCATGGTCGACGAACTTGATCGGCAGCCACGTGACCTGTCGACGACCGGAAAGATCAAAGCGGTTATGAAGCATTCTGGTGCAACAGTTACTATGACAACTATGACTGATTTGGTTGCGTTTGCGGTCAGCACGTCCACCTCATTTCCCGCCATCAGGTAAGATACTTCAATTGATAGCCAGTGCTTCTCCATCTTTGGAAGATGAAGACAATAATCACGGTTTTAAGCAATGGTGTAATTGTTTAAAGGATCCGGATTTATCAAGTGACCTCTATTAATTTCTTTTAAAACCTCAACTGCAAACCATTGAAGTGAGATGTCGAGCTGTGACAGGAGCCATTGAATTGATTTTCTGATAAAAATGGTTACAGTTTCGTGGGATATCTTTTTTTCCCTTGTAATTGGCTTCCAAGTTCTAAAATTTCGTCAAATGTTGTAGAGTATTTCAGTGAGATCGTCTATATTAAAACTTAGTTACTTTCTTTTCTCAGGTATTTCTGTGTTTATGCTGCCTTGACAGTGACGTTCTCCTTCCTGATGGTTGTCACATTCTTTGTGGCCCTTATGACATACGACGTTAGACGAATTAAATCTGGCCGCCGAGATTTCCTCCCATTCTGCCTGGCACCACGGCCAAAAGAGGGTAAACCAGCATGGGATGAGCCTCTCCCCCAAACTTCAAATAAAGTTATGAAATACTGGGGCACATTATTGACCCTTCCAGTTACAAAAGTTCTGGTTATACTCTTCTCTCTTTCACTGCTTGGTGCCGGGATATACGGAGTCACTCAGGTGGATGAGTCATTTGATAGACGTGTATTGGCCAGAGATGATTCCTACTTGAGGCAGTTTTTGACAGCTCAAGGAAAGTACTTTGAGCTGTCCATTGGAGTGAGTATCGTGCAGACTGGTGAGGTTGATTACCAATTGAGGTCCACGCAGAGCGACATTAAAGAATTAACGAACATATTCAAGGAAAATGAATATTACAAGAACCAATCACTATCCTGGATGGATGCATTTGCCCAGTATGCTAAGAAGTCGAAGAGAAACATTACTGGCCCAGGTTTTCTACGAGAATTGAAAACATTCCTTCGTATTCCTGAGTTCTCGTATTTCACACAGGACGTGAAGTTATCCGAGGATGAGACCAAAATAGAAGCTTCTCGCGTAGTAGGCTATATGAAGGATTCGGGTAGCTCCACCTTCCAGAAAAACGCTATGCTCACACTCCGTGAAGACATATCAAAGAAGTCCAAACTGAATGCCTTTCCAATCACTCGATCCTTTATATTCTTTGAACAATACTCAATTACGTCACGCGAGACCCTGAGAAACCTGATAATCGCAGGCTTAACGGTGGTAATTGTCACAAGCCCCTTTTTGATGGATTTTACTGTGACGTTCGTGGTGGTGCTTAACTTCGCAGCGCTGGTTTGCGAGTTATTTGGTTTGATGGTAATCTGGGATGTGTCTCTGAACTCTGTTTCCATGATTAACCTGGTAATGGCCATCGGATTTGCAGTTGACTACAGTGCTCACATTGCCCATGCTTACATTACGTCAAGCAAAGTCACAGCCGATGAGCGAGTTGTGGATGCTCTGAGCACGTTGGGCGCAAGTGTTTTCATGGGAGGTACGTCAGAAGCTAAATTAATTGTTGTAAAACATCGCCGAGAAAAGTAAGCACTTACAAACATATTGACATTCTTGTGTTTCTGGAGTGTATAACAGGTTTAAAAGACTGTGGCCCTGTTTCGGTAGGAGGTATTGGAAGAAAATTTGGATCTATTGAGTTGATAATGAAAATTGGCCACCATAAATAAATTATGGAGCTGATTTTTTGAGCCAATCTTCTCCAACGAAGGGCTGACGCTCAAAACATCAGCTCTATAATCTCTTTACAATGTCTAATGGTCTTTATCAACTCAGTTGATAAAATCAAAATTTCTCGGATATACCGCGGTTGATTAAAAAATCTATCCTTAGTTTTATTCAAGAAACCACTTAAAGTGAGATTAATTTCTGCTTCAAGTAACTTCCATCACTTAACGTTTGTAGTGCTATGCCCGTCGCAAAATCTGCTGATCTTTTCTTCTTGACATGTTTTAGGAGTCAGTACGTTCCTTGGTATGGTTGTACTTGCATTTGCTGCATCTGAGATATTCCGAATTTTCTTCCGAATGTTCTTTGGCATCGTCATGCTAGGACTACTTCATGGCTTGTGCATCATGCCTGTTTATCTGTCTTTGCTGTGCTGGAGACCCGCTCTTATCAGACGTCCCTCAGTAACAGACACAAGTGAAAAACTTGGAAGCACAGACATGACAGATAATATTACCAACACCAATGGTTTCTTGGAAGTGGTGAAATCTTCCGGGGATACATCATTTCAGCCGCCACAACACTCAAACTCAAAAGAGGAAGCCGACATCTCACTCAATGTAAAACCAGCCAACCAGCAGATACAGACAAATGAAGCTGAGAAAGGAATTCAAAATATGGGGATTGATGAGGATGACGACGACGCTGAGACGGTGGAGGTAGAAGGCGACGTTTAAAAATGCAGCTAGACTGAAATTTGAAGTGACTCTTTAACGAAATACCCAGATTGCAAGTTTAGTCAGCTCAGAAAGGAAAATAATAGCACCTTTTCTGAGATTAATAGTTTCATTTTACAAGCGAAGCTTTCAGTGTCTTTTACTAGAAAGTCTTTAAAATTGGAGAAACCATTCTGGGTCAGCCTAACTGACATGAAGAAAATCAAACCTGGTAGGAGCTTACGACCGTCCAAATATTGTAAAGTCGATGTTTAATTTTGCTTCCAAACAAAAAAGATAGGGAGTGTGAGGAGGCTACACACTCAAAACTTCTTCCATCTGAAGAATAGTGCACTTGTGGGTTTGGTCTCCATATTTCATATATATGTATATTTTGGTTATGACTGTTGATGTGTCTTGTAAACAGAATAAAGAACCAATTTATCGCTTGAAATAACCTAATAAACTTTTAGATGAATGTCATTAATCAGTTTGGAGTTTAAGTTAAAGCAAAACATTTCTTGTTATTCAAAAACAAGTGAGCTTTTCACAGTAATCCTTGGATGCTTTCATTAAGTTAGCAACAGCAGGCTCTTTCTATTTAGGCCTAGTAAATTCGTTTCCAGTTTAGAAGAAATTACAAAAAAAACCTACATAGGTTCACTCACAAAGGAAAGAAACTATGTGCTAAATAGACTTAAGTACACAGCTGTTTGTGTTAAGAGATTGTTGCAGTGCAAAGTGAAAAGTGCCAGGCATTAATTAGCCAATTGAAAGAACAATATTCTTTATCAAAAATGCCCCTTTCACCCCAAACATATATTGCCTATAATCAACACTTTCCTTGATAGAAAGTTAGGATTATTTTGTATAAAAAAATGTACATATTTAAATGCAATGCTATGAAATAGCCTTAAGATACTTATTACAGGTGTACTGATTAATAAACAACAATGATTAGTCTCTTGATAAACATCAGCTGGTATTGCTGGGTTTAAGCAACACTACCATCTAAACCCTTGGCCAAATGCATCCTTAGAAAAGTATGGAAATAGCACAATTATAAATAAAATTCCTTAGTTTAAGGTTAACCAAAGCAGATCTTGAGATTGTCCTCAACCTTCTAAATCAATGCAGTGGGTTGTTTGAGCTTAGAAATTGAGACACACGGAGGCCTACTCTGGGACATAACATCATTAACTTTTGGGCAACTTTAGGCCACTTAAGGAAAATTGACAGTGATTTTATTTGACTCAAGTATTAAAACCTAAGTTAGCAACAGTCTCTCCATAAACTTTAAAATTGTCTACAGAATCCCATGCAATAAACAGAATAATCATTTTGGTACCTGTAGTATCCACACAAGTCACCATTGTCTAAAATATCCAGATTTCAAACCATTTTAGCTAAAAATGCTTGGACAGAATTACCACAATATAGTTACTGTTTAATTACATACCTGTATATTAAATAGTCAAGCTAGTGACTAAATAACCAGGAAAAATCATGGGTTATATACCTAGTGTAATAATATCAAAACATAAACCAACATTAAACAAACCTATAAAAATAGGCACATGGTGAGATAAATTTTAAATTTAAGAAAAGAGCCATGATTTACATAAAACTCACTTACTGACAGTAAATTTTCCACATAATTATTAACTAACCTTACTTAAGATTATTTACACGTATTAACTATTTCTTAAAGTTTCACTAATTATAAAAATACTCAACTTGTCTCCCATTTTTTGGCACCTGTACTGTCAATTTTGGCATGGAAGTTTAGTGAATCGCATGCCTTTCCAACAGTAATGGCCTGGTCCTTTTCAGGGACCCAGCCAATTTGCCGTTCTTCTGCCTCAGTAAGACAAACACCCAAATGCCATATTGAGAACCATATGCTAAGGTCCTTCGTAAGAAGCCTTCCTTTCCAGTCTCAACAACTACTTTTCCTGGCTGCAGAAAAAATATTGACGTCCCATAATAGAGAATCAAATCTTTTTAGAAGATCTTTTTACTATATTACCGTTTGTCGGATCACCAGGACCTTCCAAACATTCACTTTTTTCCACTCCGCAGCGTTTAACCAAATAAAAATGAAATAAGTTTTATTTTTGAGCTGATATGGCAGTATAACAGGTTTTAAAAGCATTCGTTGTTACCTAATTGACGAGTCACAAAGAAAAACTATAAACTGATAACAGGTTCACTTGTCTCCGCCATCTTGATTCTCCCAGTAACCTTTGTGCTAACTAGTTTCCATGTTTATCGTCTTTGATAACTCGAAGAAACGCAAGAAGGCCAAACGAATTGAGGAAAATAATCGTACAATAATACACGAACTGATGTCAATCAAACATTAATCGTACACACAAAACCTATGGTTTATGTACACACGAAATATCCTTCTATGTCATTTAGCCAACACGAAATATCGTAATCCGATATTGGCCTGGCAGCCATGTTTGCTGCAAAAAGATTTTCTCGGCATAGATCATTGGGTGAAATTTCCGCACGGCCCCATACTTCATTATGCATTCAGTTCTTGGATAGAGATAACAATGACAAAACTAATACATTGCCATTGAGAAAACAGATTTGTTTTACAATAGTGTGGGGCTGTGCGGAAATTTTACTAAATCTTAAGATAGTTAAAGACTTATGCCTTTAGTGGGTTCGTCGAGTTTCATATTGCAAACGTTTATATTTGGTTGAATACGATGGTGGAAGTAGTTCGTGAAGATCTATGGGTTTATGCTGGAAAAATGGCCCACTTTTGTCACTCTTTTACTCTGGGTAAGTAGAGTGTCTAAACTTAAGCTTCTGTTCAGCTCAATTGACTTCGGACTATGTTATTTTTACTGCTCAATGTAAGAGTGAGTAGCAAGAATCGTGCCTTTCTCTAGAATACCTTTCTATTTTGTTTTATGTGGATGATTGGAACTGTAGAGTTGATTTGATTCAGTAATATCTCAATATAAGAATAAATAAATTATTTCTGCCACAGTCATTTGTTGTCTTTTCTCCAGAGATCAATCATATTTTTTATGTTTATTGTTTCCTGATGGTAATACACAGTGGCAATCTTTTGATCAACTTGCTCAAAAAGAAATACAAAGCAGAAATTTGGTTTAAACAGATGTCTGGGTAAGAAAAAGGAAGAGAGTACATTGTCATAATTAGTTCATATATCAGTATTGTCTACAAGTAGGAGTTACTCATGCTATCATAGGTGCTAGACAGGTGCATGACTCTTATAACAGGAGGTTTACATGTATAACATGGAAGTCATTACCAACCTTATATTGACTTGTAGTCCATTGCAGGGTTATTCCCCACCAACCACTACCCATATTTACATCTGGAAGAGATGAGGCACTTTGAGAGTAAATATTGTGCCCAAGAACACAATGCAATGATCCCCCCGAGGGACCAAAACAGGACTGCTTGATCTAGAGTCCAGTGCACCAATCATTCTACCATCATGCCTCCTCCTCTGATCCTTATGATGGGAGTGAAGTGAATGGGATCAATTTAACAGGGTAGAGCCCCTATAACATCGTGTAACCAATAGTCACTTTAGGCGACTTTTAAGATGACTTAAGGCAATTGAATGCAACTTAAGGCCCCAGAGTAGTCCTACAGGATTTGTATGAAAGGGAAAGCATTAAGCCCCTTTTCCATTCTTGCCTTCTACCAAGGATATCAATAATATGGTTATTTTCTGCCAGCCACCTTATGTAGAGAGTCTGAAATTTCTTACTTTCTCATGATAGACTACTTTAACACAGGTTTTCATGGTAAATTTTCAGTTAATCAGATGTTAAAAAATTCCTTTGCTGTGTTCACTTAGAAGCCTTTTTCCATGACAAAGAGGATGATTCTAAGGTCTTGAACAAAGATACTTTCTTTGGTATGGTATTCTCTCATGTTAGCTGAAAAGAAATTTCCTGGAAGATGGAGTTGTTGCAACATCTTAACAAGAAAGACAACAGCAAATTTCATTGATCTTAAAAAAAGGATTCATTTACAAAGACTTTCACTGGTTCACCATGACAAAATTCAAACATTGAAGTCATTTGATAAGGCTTGGGTATTTGTTGAAATTGTGTAATTGGGTAATTGTTAAAACTCAGGTTATACATTGAATGCACAGGTTTGTCTTCCATTTTTGCACTAATGCTGTAACAAGGTGGAAAATCTTTGAAATATGTTTCAACCCAACCATTTTCCATAACTTCTAAACACCATTATGAAATAATTATGCAGGGAAATGGAAAATTTTTGGCATATACTTCATGTCTGAAATGCCATGTTCAGTATCAGCTATCTGGATGCAGGAGGGTGTATGTGGGAATAAGCTTCGTTGTTTGTGTCATTAATTTGCTTTTCCTCCTTTTTATCAGGTTGATCTGTCAGGACAAGGGCTGAGGATTTTAGCAGGCCAGCCGATTTAGGGAAATGTTTGTGAGGAAAGTGATTCTTATTTTAAGCCTGGAAACTATCATTGTGAAAAGCCCATACTTGTGCTTAGTAATTCATTCCTCTTTTGATTAGCTGGATTTAGGAAGGACACTATTTCATGACTAATAATATACATGGAAAAATTACTCAGTTCTGATTGGTTAAGATAAATGCAGTTTTCAGGTAATTCAGTGCAGAAGAGAGTTAATTCAGTGCAGAAGAGGGTTAATTCAGTGCAAAGAAAGAAACAAATCAGACATTCTGATTGGTCAATAAACAAAGAAACTCACAGATAGCCAATCAAATGAGAGCCTTGGATGTCGCAACAAAATTTGAAAATTTGAAAATTTGTGAGTGAAACAATGGCCGGCGCTTTAAGTAGGCTTTCCTTTGCCATCGCAGCTGAAAAACAGTTTAATCAACGAAAACACTGTAAAAAGCACTGCTTTTTGGTTGTTGGTTTGGGAAAAGTGGTGTTTAGAGAAGGGAATTTCCGAGGAAATCGAAAATGACGAGCCAACCCAGCTTAACACTTTGCTTGAGTGATCGAACGCCGAAATTAAAAACAAACATGGTTAAACCTTGGAAACGACGATTCCATTTCATCGAAAGTGACTCGGACACAGATTGAACAATTCCTTGAACTGTTTAATGTGATGTGAAGATATCATTGCATAATTTATTATTGTTTTGATCGTACGCGGTTGTTTTGACCGAACGCACGGCTTGAATAAATTATTTTTGCACTTGATGCGCGCTTTGCTTATGTTTAATTATGATGAGCCATCTCGTATTTTTCCATGTATATTATTAACACGTAATCACATGATTTTTCTCATACAATTTGGAATAAACAAGCACTTGCTAATTTTTTCGAAGACCACAAATTGCACTCGCCCTACGGGCTTGTGCAATTTTGTTAGTCTTTGAAAAAATTTACTTGTGCTTATTTATTCCAAATTGCACTCGAAATCATGTACCTATAAATAAATTTGACTTATATGCTGTGCACAAAACTTCCATTTGACTATACTTTTATAGCCAATACCAATCCTTAGCTGTCAATAGGGTCAGGGAAAAAAATGAATGTACCATAATTCTGTAATCTTGATTTCATGTTATTACAAAAAATTTAAAAAGGCCTCTTGATAACTGATACAAGGAAGAAAAAATATATCAAATGTGGTTGAAAAATTATAATAAGCCGTAGGCCAGATAAAGAAGATTCTTAGAAAACGAAATGTGTGCAAATGTAAAAGCTAAGCAAAACTTTTTAAAACACCTGCCTGTAAGTGTGCACCATGTAGTAAAGTCAGTCCAAGAAGTCACAATTCAGGTTTTAATGTTGAAAGCACATACACCCAGATAAAAAGGCAGCCTGGCTTATGGCAGGGTCCCTTAAATCTCATCTGGAATCTCAGGTGTGAATG